ATCGTATTAAAGATAACATTGGAGAAAAACATTACGACAATTACGACGATTTATTAATTATGTGATAAAAAACTGATAAGCTTCTAATAGTTTTTTTTTTTTAAAAGTTTATTTCCTTCGAATGTTTTGCCTCGTGATTTATTTTGTGTAGAATAACGTGTGACGAATGGTTCAATTTGAATTACACGCATAAAAATCGAAACAATGCAATATAAATTCATAATACGATATAAAATACCATAAATAATATAGCAAATAAATTTAAGCATGCTAATATCAACTATAAAACAAATTTATTTAACAATTTCTCGAATAATAACGCGTTATTTTTTTTGATTATGATTTCAGTTATAAAGATGAACTACATCAATTAGATTTAAGACGTAAAATATTTATAAATATGATCTCAATATGAAAAATATCTTCGTTTCTGATTATATCGCAAAATTTTATTTCGAAAAACAATCCGTTCTCTTTCTTAGAAAAAATTTCCAAGAAAGTTTCGATCCCAATACCTTTTGAAATTCATATAGGGATTCATTTGTTACATATCTTTAAGTATATTCACTGATAAGCAACCAAGCCTTATTTCCTTACCTGCCCAAATAATTAAAAATCTAACAAGGTATTAATATATTCGTAAGACGAGAAGATCGCTTCTAGAGGCTAAAGCAAATAAAAAAATTGATATAGAAAAATAATCTCCACTCTATCTCTATTTCGCCTCATCTAATGAAAATCAACTTATAATTTGAATAACTCTACACCGAAATTTTTATATACCAACTTTTGTATTTCTTTCGACCCATACTCGATCGATTCTCTAAATAAATTCCACGAATATATTAACACTTTGTATACGCATACATTCCTGTCCAAAAGCTTGAAGCTCTCTTCACTTTTTAAACAAAATATTCGTATATTTATAAAATATTTCTATCAGAAATTCTGTTTCATTTAAATACAATCATATTACATTTTAAAATTGATTAATTATCTATAAAGTATTTCCAGAATGTAAAATGCAAAAAAACGTGTCGTTTAAAAAACGAAGGGTGAGCGTTTCGAGCGTGAGCGTACATATGAAAATCGGGAAGCGATTTCTAAGTGGACGAATCGAACGATCTGCCGATCTCGAACGCGAGAGATCACTCGAGAATCAATGGCGAACGTTCGAGATCGTTAGCCATGCGAGCCACGCAGGCCAATTGCAGGATGAGGTTACAAGAGTGTGTCGTTTAATTACCATGTCTGAAACTCGCACAAATACATTCCCTAAATTGTCCATAGCGTACACCAGAACTGTTTGTTCTAACCAGAAACTCGAAGCGTACCAAATGCGCGCTTTGACTCTCTGTGTCTTAAGCTCAACCTGTAATTATAGTCGCGGTTACGCGGTTACGCCAATAAATGAATATACCACCTGCGAACGTCATCGAGTTGAGTAGGCCCTTGTCGAACATGGTGAGGCCCAGATCGCACTCAGCTGACGGCAACACGTACGATATGGCCGAGGAGGAGAAGATGCTGGAGAAACTGGCTGGCAACACGGCCAATAGTAACAGATAATTGAACCTTCCATAACCTGTAGAACCAATTAAATAAATTTATCTTTTTATGTTCGTATTGGAAAGAAAATTTATTCGAAAGGAAATCTTCTTTATTTATTTTTTCTTTATTTCTTTAAATCTTCTTTATTTAGTTATTATATTTATATTTATATAAGTTATTTATATTATATTTTTATTAAATTATATTTAGTTATATAGTTATTTAGTTAGAAAAATATGTTTATGCTTTAAGTATGTGTAGATGAATAATATAATTGATTTTTGGTTAATATTGTGTTCAAATATAATTTTTTTTTGATAATTATAAGGAGAGAGATGCAATGTGGTATTTCATGGATGAATAAAAAAATTGTATTAAGGTTTAAGTTTAAGGTGTCTAATAAAGTGATGATGCAATCGTTCTATTACTTAAAAAGAGGAAATAATATTTTTTTTTTCACTTAAAGCTTTTTCGAGAGAAACGAGTTTGGAAAATGAAGGAAATGATGGAAATGATAATTTTGATTGGATGTTTTTGAGAGCTTGAGCTCGGATATACACCAAATGTGTAAGCAAACTGGATTCAAAACCAGATTTTTCGTTCCTATTCGCGTATTCGTGTTGCTTTTTTTTTTCTGCAAAACATTTCTCTTGCTGTTGCCTTCCAAATACGTATGTATATTTTTTTACTCCCATTCTTAAGAAAGAAACCCTTTTCTGTTCGTTTCTTGGAAGAAAAAAAAAAAGAAACAAGCAAAAAGATGGAGATTCTTAAACATTTACATATTTCTTTTTCTTTTTTTTCTTTTTTAATAAATGTATCTATTTTTTATATGGTTGTTTTGAAAGAAAAATTCTTTTCCTTTAAGAGAGATCTGTCTCTCTTAAAAAAATTTGGAAGATTAGAATATAAAAAAGATTAACGCGAGAATTTACAATTATTATTATATTTGTATAATTATTTAACATATATATTATTTATTTTTAAAAAAATTACAATATGTTTAAATTATTTCTTTAATTTTATTTTATTTTATTAATTTTTCACAAAAATTATATGAAAGTATATATTTATAATTTGAATTATATATTTATGACATAATTTATGTGTTAAATGATAAATACTTACCAGAATTAATTATTGCTCGCTCGAAATCTGCAGGACCAGATTCCTCAGACTTTTCGTCCTCACCTGTAACGAAACAAAGATGTATTTACAAATTATTTATATCTTTGTTATAGATTTTTAAATCTCATAATATTATTATTAATATAATAATATTCCAATAAATTATTTATAAATTAATAAAAAATAGAGATTAGAATTTTTAATATATGCTTATATAATACACCAAGAAATGATTAATTTTAATAAATGTTCCAAACGAGAAATTTTTTATTAAACGATTCTAGATACAAACGATTAATTCTAAACTTGTTATTGATAATTTCATTGAATAAATAAAATTGAAGCAACAAAATAACATACATCGGAAGTGATTGTATCTGAACATCGAAAACAAGTCGAAGATTCTTTTAAACACCATCATTCACTCACTATACCCAAAATAAAATAAATTATTATCATTAATAAAATGAAATAATCGATAAGTAAAATTTATTTTAATTTTAAATATTTTTTTTTAAATATTTAAACTTGTTTACGTTTCTTTCATAAATGTTCAATTAAATTTAAATCCGAAGATTCTATCATACAAAATAAATTTCTATAATTCTTAGATTAACTCTTTGATCGAAAATACTATATTACCATATATACTATATCATATTAAAATAAATTTTAAATATTTCAAGATATGTCGTCAGAGAATTGGGAAGATATTTATATATCTAAAAATTGGAAGAATATTTTATTGAACACGTATCCAAGAACTTAAAAAAAATGGTTTTCTCGATAAATCATAGTTCGAAATGAGGGAATATAAAAAAGTTACGGGTCCTAATCCCAATGATAAATTTTAATCAATTTTTTCTATTCAAAGAATCGGTTAATCGAAGATTGAATGAACTATAGTTCTATAAAAAATATGAAAAATATACTTCAAAAGTTTTAAATTGTGTATATCGATTCTTAGAATTAATTAAATTTAATTAAACATTTATGGAAAATATTCAAACAAGCAGAATTGTAAAAAACTATTACTGTTTGCAATTTAAAAGATACTAAAATATAACAATAAAGTTTATTTTGAAATCTTTAAAATCTATTGAAATACAAATATAATTATATATATATATGCGATATATAATATAAAGTGAACATGCCTTTAATTTACAGTTCAATATGTAATGAGCAGTTAAATTATAATACGATAATATTATAAAAAAATCTGTACTGTTTCATTGGATAAAAGAAAGTGAAGAAAATTTAAATAAAATAAATTATGGTGTTAATTAATAGAATATAAAATTTAATATTTTAACGATTTTTAACACTGTAACAAGTTTAAATACGATTAGTTAATAGTGCGATGACGGTCACGGCCGAACTGAAGAATTAAATACGAATAAAGTTTCGAGTCGAATATTTGTATACACTCGATGACTTGTGTCGATCGACTTCCATGTATCTATACAAGAAATATTATAAACACACGAGATGTTTGAAATTTCTCAAATTTATATAAATATTTGAAAATTAATTAGAAAGCATATGTTCATGTATAAATTTTATTATTTATTATTTTATTTTAAATAAAAATTTATAACAATTTGTGTTATTAATTTTAAAAAATATCTTATTTAAAAAATGTGGTTATTATTGAAAGAAAAGACAATGAACCGTATAATTAATTAATCAATAAATTCAATTGACATTAAAAACGTTAAAAACGTTGAACGAAAATGTAAAAATTTAAATAAGGAAAAAAGTTTATAAATTTCGAAATATTATAAATCATTATTAGGAAATTTTGTAAAATTAAATGTTCATACAATAATTATAATGTATTCTTTATAATTTTTATGTTATATTAATATTATACTAATGAATTTTTTATAAAAAAAAATTATATGTTAATATAATATGTGAGAAAAATAACAAAATTACAATCATCATGGATGATAAAATTATTCAAAAAAAAAAAAAAAAAAATTAGAAAAAGATGAATGACTGAAAAAAAGCATCAACAAAACAAATATAATTTCTTTATCTTCCATATCGGTGTTCAAACAAATTTTATTGGCAAATAATTAAACATCCATTTTTTTGATCCTATAATTTTATCATTCGTTTTAATTAAAAATATAAACGAGGAGTAATTCGTTATCTTTTATTATCAAGGAGATACAAATTTTAGTGTACAATGAATGTACAAATAAATCATCTAATTCCAATTGATAACGAGAGGGAAAATTTTGAGATATCGCGACAATGGAACAAAATATTTGTGAAAATAAATATTTAATAAACATACTATCCTTCTGTGTATTTAACATACGTAAATGATTATCTTCAGATAATTAATGCATTTTTCAATGCTTTCAAAAAAATATCGCGTAATGATTAATCATTATAATTGATATTCATCAACAATTAACAAACTTAAATTTAAAAATTCTAATTATACGTTGATTTAAAAGTTTTATTTATTTAAAACTCAATTGGGAAATCCTGAAATAATTTACAGCGTTTAAAATAATGTACACTTAAAATAATTTATGCATTTCTTAAATAGCATTTCCTTACCTTAGAATGCTTTGGAAAATCTTAAAACATAATATCATAAATAGCTCGAAGATAATTAAATAATTTATTTAAAAAAAAATACTTGTTAAAAATTTTTTTAAAAATAAATAAATGACAGAGACATCGTTTATAAAAAAATTACAATTATCTCTTATAAGTTGTTGACATGTTATGCAAACGATATGTAATCTCTCCAAAATCGATAAAATTGTATAAGAAATTTAACTTTGTATATCGTAATGACTTGAAAGACAAAAAAATTTTTCATGATAATTTATAATATTATAAGTTTCTGTTACAATTTTTAACTGATCAATAAAGAAAATATTTGCAAGATTATTTTAATTATAGATGTAACTTATAATCAAAGTTATAGAAAACTTATAGAAAAAAATAAAGAAAATTTTATTGCAACAATATCAAATTGTATATGTTAAATCCTTAATACACTTTCTAACTTTTTCAAATAATAATCTATAAAAGACTTTTTCCATTTAAATTTGCATTCCTAATTACCTCAATTATAACGATTTTATCTTATTAATATAATTATTACTATAATTATACTATATTATTACTATAATTACCTTAATTATAACAAAGAAATAAAAGAAATTTTAAGTAATATTCACTGATATTTTTATTTTTATTTTGTAATGAAATTTTGTAATAAAATATTATTTATAACATTACTATTTATATTTACTCGTACATCTTTCATTGCGAATAAACACTTTTTTGATCGTGCAAATATTTCAGTAAATTTAATATAAAACGAGAAAGTTGAAATTTTACGTGACTTTTGAAATAATTCAAAACGCTCCTGGTACGTGATTTCCTCGTTTTTCAGTTTGGTTCATGACAAATGTGATAAACAGGAGGAAAAACAATATTAAAGTGTTAATTCTTTAATTTATCTTTACTAGCGACAAAGCAGTTATATTTTCATATTTCTAATATTAAATGTTTTTATTAGTTTTTCATAATAAAAATTTCGATAATAATTTTAAAGTTAAACTTTAAACTTGTTTTTAAAATTAAGTTTAACTCACGAATAATAATTATTTACGAATAATTCATGCATTTGCAAGAAAATATTTTTCATCTACGAGACATACAAAGATTTCAAATGTTGATGGAGGAGAAATGATCTTGAAATTTCTCTTTAAATAAAGTTTCATTCTTTTGCCTAATTATTTTGAATTAAATGAATTGTTAAATAAACAATATTTATATAGTATTGCTAACTTTAGAGCATCACAATAAATAAAAATTTAATTTCTTCTTAACAATATTTATCTATTTAAAAAGATTATCTATTTTCATAAACTAATGCATCATTATATGATCAAGAAGATTTAACTTTTATAATTAATAAATTTTAATTATATTAATAGAACTTTCCTAATTTTTTATTTAAAATTACAACAACTTGACGAAAATTTTATGTTAAGTTTCAATTCGAAACCATCTTCCTAAAAAAGAAACATAGAATAAATTTAGATAAAATAATTTTATATTATATTGATCAAAAATCAGACATTAAAAGAAAAGAATTTTGCATCAAAAGTTTTATATGCATCTTATAATAATCAAGAGTTTTTTTTTAAAATATGATTTATTTACTAAAATAATAATAATAATAATAATAATAATAATAATAATAATAATAATATTCTAATATCTCATCACATAAAACAAGGAAATAAAGAAAGCGAAAATGCATCAAAAAAAAATCTCATCACGAATTAACAAACTTGCCTTTGAACTTCACTGACGAATGCATTAAATATCCCCTTGTTTTCCCTCCTTGAGTCTATCGATCAGTCTATCGATCGTTCGCCACTGAGAAGAACTCGCACAAACACAACAAAAATGTTAAAGAAAAAAAAAATAAAAAAGACTATTGCGCGCTTCTTTTTTTCTTAACAACAAAGAAAAATAAGAGTAAGGAAAAGAAGGAAAGAAAAAAAAAAAAAAAG